TGTCACGTCAGTGTTTGCTGTCAGCTTCTTTTTCGAGCACGAAGGTGATTCCTGACAGTATTGAGTTGATAACGCTGTTCAGCGTTTCCGGTTGATCTCTCGACGAACACAAAAGTCTCACTTACATAGCGCACCCCTAATTTGAGGTTAAATAATGGTAGGGCCATAGCCAGGAATTGGTGACCCCATTGGAGTTCGTTTCACCTGCTGATACTATTCATGGGCGAACGAAAGCTTGTTCCCCAGACATAAATCCGAGAGTGGAAGCAAAGCAGATGCAGGAACATCGATGTCGTAGGACTGTTGGAGTTCTTATGTGCACTGCCTCGTCAAGTCGAGCGGTATGAACGTTAAAATAGGGACAGCATCGAAGGATACCATTATGTCATCCGTGTTATCTGTGAGTTCTCGTATTTTGTCCAGAAATCCAATAGAATACTCGTCTGAAGTTTCACAATCCTTTGTTAATGGGCGGAGTTTGTTGAATAGTCATTTATAAATCTTGTTATTCGGTGCACCGATTAATGATACTATCGGTCGCAGTTGTACGTTGGGTTTGTGAACTTTTGGTAGTTCACAAAATAGCATTTATTGCGAAGGTGGTGACACTGCTAAGGGACAAATCAGCCTACGAAACCATGAATGCTGACCCTACAAAGTCGCAGAATTCATACATTGAAAAACGCTTAATCGCCTTACAGGCAAGAAATTAATCTCAGAAGTTCTGACCAAATCCTTAAAACAAAACGAATCCAAAACTGTCAAGATATTCAGACCTCCTAAAGTTTGCAGAGTGGGTATTCCACTGCGACCGATAGTTTCCCTAATCAGTGCACCAAACTACAAGATTTCTAGGTGGCTATTTCACCATCTACATCCCCTTACAGAGAACTCCATTGAAGATGCAAGTGAGCTCCTAGACAAATAAGGCGTGGGTGTTGCAACCGATGAGATAATGGTTTCCTTCGATGCAGTCTCCCTTTTCACCTCGATTTCATTGGATTTAGCAAGACGCTGTACTGGAGAACTTCATGCCCACACCAACGAAATGCCTCCTGCCGCTCAACTTGAACTACTTGGTTTTTCCCTATAAACCAAATTTTCTTTCGTCAAACAACGTTTCAGCAACGGAAAGGTGTTCCTATGGGTTCGCCTATATCTGGCTTTCTACCAGAAGCCATAATGCAAAAACTGGAATCTATAGCCCTTCCTCAAATTAACCCAGAACTATGGCCGCAGTATGTTGATGACACATTTGTCATTACCAAGAAAAGAAAACTAGATCTGCACCACATTCCGAGGAATCGAGTTCACTTTGAAACGCAGGCTGATGAACAACTTCCATTCTTGAATGTCCTTGTACGTCGAGAAGTCGATGAATCACTTCACACATCAGTTTATCGCAAGCAGGCATATACAGATGTCATCCCACATTTTGAGAATAACCACCTTGTGTCTCACAAACGGAGTCAAGTCTACAGCCTTCTGAATCTAACCAAAGCACACTGCTCTGATGAAACAAGTTATCAAGCAGAAAGGAAATATCTCACCTAATTATTCTCCCAAAACGGGTATCCGCATGACTATTTATGCCAATGCGTGAGACATCAGTAATTCCAGGGAGGTATTTCCAGTGCTACGGCCGCTCGAACACCAAAACTGATCATGTGGCGAACTCCCCCATACGTGAAAGATGTATGCGAACCAGTCGAAAGACAACTAAACAGAAACCAGATACCCATAGCACACCAGCCGGCGTCTACCTTACGCACACAGCTTGCACACCCTAAGGACAGGGTTGGCAACCTCGAAACAAAAGGTGTTGTCTACAAAATCCCATGTCCCAGTTGTGATACCGGCGTGGCAGACCTCAACCCTCTACACCAGAGTGGCATTGTCGCTACTGGCTCACGATCGCTAACTCGTCGGACCCGAGGGCCTGCTTATTTCTCAACTAACCTTCACTGGAGGCCGTACCACTATCCGCTACCTGTGGACGCGCCAGTTAGTCTGCAGCTAGACTAAGCGGTGACCCGTCTTGCCATTTGCCCATACTCGTTCAATTATTAAGTTCTTAGAACATGCTTGTATGGCTGCTCGGGTCTAACGACCAACGCCACACCAGAGTTGTCGTCCAGGAATGACAACAACCAAGAAAAGGCTGTTTCTCATTTTTGAGCAGATCGAAATATTCTTTAATCATATCTTTCGAACAGGAGAGAAAGACTGAGGTAAACGTGATCCATCCAACGCGAAAGAGAGAGAGAACAATGATAGGTTTAGTGACCCAGGCAAGTCGAATGGCCACATTCTGTACATTATATTATGATGGGTTGGCTTGTAGTTAAGGGGATAAGGCGTAAAAAGTGCAACTCAGCAAGTCCCCATAAAAGTTGTGCGCGTATGTTGTATCATATACAACGGAGATGACGCAATTGTACGTATTTACGTTATGAGAAATTTGCTGAGAATAGAACCTCACAGAAACAAGGTCACTGGCATTTTCGACCCTCTGCCGTTAATAGAGATGAAAATATAGCATCATCACGAAACCACTGTTATAATAAAGCCAACTGACACATCAACAACAAGCAAGCTCAATCTGGTGGTGTACATGGATAAAGAGTATACCATTTTTTCGCCAGTCCTGTGCAACATCCTCGTGCTATGCCTCAAGGGGCCAGATGTGTCTGGTAATAACTCCGAAAAGCTAAACGAGCTCTATATCAGGTCGTGGGCGCATTAACACTTTCAAAGTAATGCATCACCACTTATTGTTCAGGAAGTAAAAATGATGATCGGACGCCCTCTGAGAGCAGTTAGTTTGGACTGAAACGGCACACCGCATGTACTCGGGGAATGTTTTGTAATGATTCCCACAGCGGTCCTAGTTGGCGGCTGCACATAACTGTCGCAGGCTGCAGCACGCAATACACCTTAAAACGTTTGTCAGATGCTGGAGTAGGATTACTTTCGGACACGCCAACTGGTTCAGAATTCTGCGATAATTTGGCCTTACCAAGCAGTGGTGAGGTGTGCAAATAGTGCCCTAAGAAGCTAGAAATGTTATCAACAATCATGGGATGTCTGAGATATTCAAATTATAGCATGACCGGCCAGCACTTGTGTAAGGACATCCCGTTCCTAACCAATTTAAATGATCGCCGGAGAAATAGGGTTCTTATCAGTCTTGGAGGTTAATGCAATAAAAGTTAATAAGAACCGGCGGGAGCACGTGCAATTTATGCTGATCACCGTAACCGGCGGAGCGTCTGTCTAACAGGGTGTGGAAGGTTGCAATAAATGCCACGCGAGACTACAAGCTGATCTTATAAGATGAAGGGCCTACGGGAACAAACATTGAACAAGTAGGAAAGGTGAAGTCAAGCCGACGACGCTTAAGGGTCTGTTGCATAAAACCTCATACGCACTGCAGCAATTCTCGTCGGCCAAACTCAACACTCATACGCCTGTAACCAAAAGACTGCTCTGCAAAATGAAAGAGTAGAAACGTGTAGTGCGAGAGGATAAAGTCCAAAATCGCAATTTAACAAGGCGGAGAGGCTGCCTGTTCGGCTGGCGATGTGGACAAATGGTTTCGAGGAATCCATGCATAGTGCCCAATTACAATCCCATCTGCGTCAATTCCATCCTTGTTAACCCTTACTAAACCGTTTTCCATAGGGTTAACTTCTCGATAGTGATTTTTCTAGTAATCACCACCCAGACGCGACCGGAGTGTCTAAATCAAAGAACCATCAAACCAAACTAACAACACAATAATACGATTAACCGCAAACTCGTGCCTACCTAGATACCCAGTGCTACAGCCGCGCCAATTTCGTTGATATAAGTTGGAATCAACAATTAAGTGGGTCTAGTGATGAGTGATTTTATGTACATAAAAGATGCGCCTATAGATCACTTGGCAATCTTTATTTTAGATCCCGGTTTGTGAGCCATCTTTAATATCTTGTTCATTGCAGCACGACGATCGTCGGTGCGTGCCGACATCTTGGCTCGAGCCTCCCTTTGCTTCGCTCGGATGCGCATTAGCTTTTTCCGATGTCGCCTCCTGTCCGTAGAAGTGATCTCTGATGTTCCTTTGATGGGTTCGCCCCGAGGTTCGAAAACTTCCTCTGGGGCCAACAGGTCACCTTCTGCGATTGCGGTTGGTCCGGCTTCCTCTAATACCAAGGCCTGTTTGTTTGTGATAATGTTATACCCGTCCACGCGCTAAAAGGAAAATCGGCCAGGTCAATGATCGCACGATAGATGTCAAAAAATAGTGTAAACGGGAAAGTGCGAGAGCGTCCGAAGGAAAAATAACAAGCGACATTAGTGACAAATTTGTGTTACGCCCTAGGATGTTTTCGATGTGAGGTTTTAACTTGGTTACTATGAGTTCGTAGTCTTTGCCATGATGGCAGTCCCCGCGAATTACGCAGGTTCAGCTACAATACGACTTTCCGGCATTGTTATTGAACTAGCCAGTCTCTTGTAAAGACTGGTTCCTAATGGTCACTAGTTTGTACAGTAATACCTCCTAAAACTATCTGCAGTTATTTGTACTTCGGCTTGTAACAGCATTCATCTTAATTGATTCATCTGGGACGGCGTTGTCAGTTCATCTCACCACGGACCACTATTATTCAAAGCAGTCAGGAAAGACAGGCTCCCCTCGACGCAAGTAAAACGCCCGCCAAGCATCGCCCGAGAGGCTGACACAGCGAGAGAAGAGGGAAATAAATCAGCATGAGGCCAGCCAACGCGACATGCCACTTCAGTTCCTGGTCGATTAAGTTCATTTTACGCTTTGACAATGGGGAGTCGACCGAGCTCTTCGAAGCTTCCGTACCAAGATAAACCCATTCCGGTGAGCCCATCTTTTCAAATCATCAAGCCGGAGCTTACAACTTGCGAATATGAAAATATTGCAGTCAGCTGGGCTACCAAACAAATCTCAGTCACAGCTTTACAGTACCACATAGAACTAACCATAGATGAGTATTTGTCCGCGGTCATCATAAATCAGCAGATACCAGTTATTGACGGGACGCCTTAACGTTCTATATACACTGGCGCGCCAGACAGACCTCGATTGAACTGGGATGAGGCCGTCATCACGTGGCTCCCCTCAACCTCGTTGAAATGGAAATTACAAACACTAGCAGCCCCCGACGCTAGATGCATCTGTCCGCTAGACTGCATACATAAATCGTACTTACATAAAAGTCAGGTCAGATAGTTCTCTGTAGATAGAGGCTGTTAGCGCAAGCAGTTCGCAAAATACGGAAAAGGGAATATGCACACTATAAGACAAGTTGGCAGTCGTTTTTGAAATTTTTACCCGCAAATATCTCGAATGAATGTAGGACCAAACAGTACTTATTCGGTGTTTAAAAGATGCTGTACCTGTGCAGCAACCAAACCAAAAGGCGAGACAAACTCAAGCTTGGAGCCCATGTCACTTCGGCTTTCACGCGTTATTTCGGTCGAAGTTGGGCTAATATGTATAACGGGTGATCAAAGAGTAACAGAAGTCTTCGAGAATTTCCAACCCAAAACGAATATAAGGGAGGGCTAACAAGTAGAGTAAAAACTAACTTAAAACGATATGTAGAGGGAAACCATTCCAACAAGCTCATTAGGGAACTCACCGATCTTGGCACGAAATGCATGCTGGATAGCGCGTCCAGATTATCAAATAATTCTATTATCTCTCTTCGAAGAGTATCTTTTTCGGGGTCCTCCTGGACTTTTTCGAGTGCCTTGGCGGACGCAGTGATAGTTAGTATGATATTACCTTGGCTTTGATGTAAAGGTTCTCATAATCCTCTACAAGAGAAGTCTTTGAACTGCCTCCAATAACTTTATTGGAAGTGGCAGTTTCCTTAAGTTTTACTTTAAGCACTGCACTGTCAAAAGCCTATATGGGAAAGATACTTGAATAATGAATGACGGCACAGGCACCCTCTCTTTAATTCCTCTCTTGATGAAATCCACAATTGTACTCTCGTCAATCGCAGACGGGACTGAGAAAATAAGTGTTATTTAAAAATAAATCATCACTGTAAATGGCGTGACGCTGTACTTCCAAATGTTCTCCGAGAAGGGCATTTTCTTCTCTGTCTTTAGCGACCGTTTCACCTTGGAGGTACCATGGCTTCTTCTGCAGCATTTTGCTCTCGAGCATGTCCATTTGATGGTCCAACTAAATCAGTATAATACGGAAGAATTTAGGTATACTTCGTCTATGTACGTATGGAGCGTCATCTTCGCGAAGACACTCGGAAGGAGTCAACCGATGACCAACGAGCGACTGCAGACAGCTGGAATCACCAAGCGTCTAGTTTAAGTCGTGGTTCCGAATTCCTAAGTGAATGTTCTCTTATGACAGACCTATCCCGAAACAATTACGTTCTCAAAGTTTTTTAAGTTCAAGCAAACATCGACGTACAAACATATTCTATTTAAATATACAACTGGAGTAGCTTACGAGGCGACGGACAGTTCCAGCAAGAGAGACGTGAAAACAGGTCCGACATCATTCTCACTGGAATGGGGTAAACTGCGAAAAGTAAGACAGAAAAAGTTTTTGAAAAAAAACGAAAAATACGAATTCGGTTTTTTAAGGTTCCTCTGGTCTGGCTATAATCCGAGAACACGTACACTGGACTTTTCTATTCTTTAACAAGGCAGCACTGCTAATCCCCCGTCAATATTACTTGAGTGTTACTGGGACATAGTTTAAGTCAGTTTACTAAGGAGATGAGGCTTTTGCCCTTGAGGTCCCTATTCATATCGATAAACAGAAATAAAGTAATCAGTCACCTTAGCAAATGCGGAAAGTTAAAAAGTTAACGGTATGAGCTTCGTTTTATTTACCCCCTCACACGTTTATGGCTTAAAACGTACCCAAGTAACTTGTCACATCCGAGTTTTCCTCTGAGATAAGTACTGCATATTTAGGAGGTGTGATCTGTGATTTTGAACTCCGCAGATAAAAAGCTAATTCTGTCCAGTTTAAGCTTTTGAATTTATTGGGGTAATAAGTCCGGAAACTGAGGAAAGGATTAAGCGCATGCATAATTTCTTACTGTGAAACATTCCGAGCCACTTATCTGCTATGGAGGGAGCGCATGTGTTCCTACAAAAATGTGGCTTGAGTTTCAGTGTAGCACAAGGTAAGCGAATTCGCTCGCTTAGCCGTAATGCGCCGATACTAGTTACGCTTTTCTCCATGAATGAAGTCGATTTAATCTTGTCGAGTAGGGAGATAACTTGAGACTTCTGCCGTAAATGGCGCTGCTCCGTTTCGCCAGACCTCACACCCCTGCATCGAAGACTGAATAAATTAAAATCGGCAAAAACCAACACCATGATAATGACACCTACTGTCAGTCTGAATACGTCCACTACAACACCATCTGCGGCATCCGCACATCACGGCGTAGTCAATTCCGTAGGGAATTCGACTTCTTTTAATGCCGAGCTCTTTAAACACACCATCACGCCTGGTATAAACGCGCCACTACCGACTCCCCCAGCAACCCCTAGTAAGCCTAAGCATGTGTCTAAGTCAAAGGCAAATCCAATTGCTGTCTCAGCCACTCGGACACCCAATAAATCCAGCACCATTATAAAATCTTTTCCTCCACAATCGGCTAACAGTGCCTCAAATACCCCGACTCAAAACGTAGCGGGTTCGCAACTGCCCCCCAGCCCTCATATCGAGGCACTTAGGCCGAATATGCCGATTTTTCCGCCGTTTACTAAAACTCTTGCTCCAATGGAAACAATGCGTGCCCCACCCCCTAACTTGTTTCCTCCACGGCCGTTTTACCAATGTATTCCTCATGCTAATGTCCATACTGGATCAGTTAACTCATCCGATCCTCAGTTTCATTCAGGCGGGAATACGTTACAGTATCTGCCAAGCGGATTTCCAGCTGAAAAGAAGTTAGCTAACAATGGTTACCAGTTCACCTGCCCGTCATTCCCTCCCCCAAGTCTTATCCATTTTTATCCACGTCAGAAGTTTTCGATGCCACAAAATTTTTTGCAAAACCGGATGGTTGCATCCGGACCATTTGCTCCGTGGGCAGCCCAGAACTGGACGATGTAGCCCACTTCCCTCAGAAACTAACAACCTTTCCCTCAAACTTTTTGTTTTAAATGTCAGATCCTTGCTTAATAAGATGCCTTTGCTTCAGACTCTGGTGTTCGTCCATTGTCCAGATATTGTTTTAGTAACTGAGACGCGGGCATCAGCCTCCGTAGCTGAATCCGAACTCTCGCTTCTAGGCTATAATTGCATCCGAAATGATCGCCAAGATAGCCGTGGTGGGTGCAGCTGCGTCTACGTTAAGCAAACACTTACATTTTTGCCGTTGGACCTCCCGCAATTTTCCGCAGCAGAAGGCAGCTGCTGGCTCCACGTTGCACTAAAAAATAAGTTCTCCTTACTCGTTGGCTGCGTCTATCGTCCTCCCAACGCCAACGACAATTTTGATCGTTTACTCTCACAGGCATTTCGTGCTGCGACGGACTCAAGCTTTAAGTGTCAATTGATTGCGGGTGACTTTAATCTTCCCGAAGCGCGCTGGTCTCCGCCTTCAGGCCCAAGAAGGTTTGAAGACTTTCTTGAGGCTGTAGATGTTGGGATGTTGAATCAGGTTGTCGATTTTCCCATCCGAGGATCAAGCATACTTGACCTTATTTTCATATAGAGGCTGCATGCCTTCGTCTGTGTCATCCCTAGGCCCACTCGGGGGCTCAGACCAGGACATAGTTATTTCAACGTTGGAATTCGAGGCTGACAAGACGTCGTCCCCAAAGTATAGCTTTTTCCGCGATTTCCGATCAACTCGCTCAACCGAATTATTAACGCACCTTAATTCCTACGAATGGACTGATTTCTTCCTTAGTTCGGATGGAAATATTTGCACTGCAAAACTGTACGAAATTTTGGATCCGCTTATTTCACATTGTGTCCCCCGTAAGAAACTTATTAATCTTGGTGATGAGATTTTCCTACCCTTGCCCTTTCGTTGCAGATTGCGCAGACTTTATCGTCGATTCCATCTTCAGAACGACGTTACTGTCCTACCCTTGATTTGTGATAGTTTTGAGCGGGCTAAGAGATTGTCTGAAGAAAAACAGCTAGCTGAAGAGGCCCAAATTAGCGAAAATCAGCCGTTAAATGTCTCTAAACTTTTCTCTAGAAAAATACGAACTCATAGAAAGACGGAGCATCCCATCCTCCGAGACGCTCTCCTAAATTCCATAGTTGATGCCCAGTTAACCGCTGATAGCTTCAATGATTTCCTGTCCAAAACGTTCATTGAAAACTCGACCACTCCGCTTCCGACCATCCAGCCATTGACGGGTCAGTTCTATAAACTATAACTTTCACTCTGTGGGATGTGACTGTTGCGATTCGGCGTGTTCATCAATCTTATAGTCCAGGACCTAATGGTGTCCCAGTAAGCATTTTAAATGCCGATGCAAACACGATCTTCCCTTCCCTCTTATGCAAGATATTTAATCTCGCTCTTGAAATTGAAACTTATCCTACCTTGTGGAAGGAATCACACATTTTGCCCATTCCTAAGCACGGCACATCTACGTCATTTGATGACTTTCGGCCAATAAACACCCTTCCCGCAGTTTCGAAGATCTTAGAGACATTGATCAAAGATAAGATGATGTGTCACTTAACAGTGAATAACCTACTGAGTGCTGCTCAGCATGGATTCCTCAAAGCTCGATCTTGTGACACCTGCCAGCTCTCTTTCTTTGACTATGTTCTCCAATCTCGAGACAATGGTTTTGCACTTTACACTGTATATTTCGATTTCACTAAGGCTTTTGACTGTGTTGACCAATCTCTTATTCTCTTGAAACTGTCCTCTTTCGGAATAGGTGGCAAACTTTTGAATTTTATATCCTCTTACCTGGGCACTCGTACACAACGACTTAAGATTTCCAATACCATCTCCAACCCCACACATGTGAGGAGTGGAGTCTTTTAGGGTAGTGTACTCGGCCCGCTTTTATTTTGCCTTTCCGTTAATGATGTACCCCATTTATTTCAGAATGGTAAGCCTTTCATGTATGCCGATGATCTTAAAGTTGCATATCGATATAATCCGGCAGATCGTGACATCGTGCTTGAGCTCCTAAAGAGCGATCTACAGGCTTTCGCCCAGTGGTGCCGCACATGGCGTCTTTCTCTTTCTTGGCATAAGTGCTCAGTCATGGTGGTTGGTCACGACCACCAACCTCAACTAAATATTGAAGGTCACTCCATAAATGTGCCCAAGGTTATAGAGGATCTGGACATATCATACTCCAAGAGTCTTAATCTCTCGGAGCACTGTGCCTTGATAGTCTCCAAAGCACGCAGAACGACCGGGTTTATCCTCCGAAACTTTAAAACTAGGGACATCAGAATGCGCCTTTACAACATGTACGTTAGACCTGGTCTGGAATACTGTTCGTTTTTATTTAGCCTCATGCGTGCTACTGAGCGGAAGAAAATAGAATCCGTGCAACATTCTTTTTACTAAGAGAGTTTTAACCCCGGAATACCGACATTTGTCTTACCAAGAACGTTGCCGGCTTACGGGCCTTGATCCTTTATGGTTCCGTAGATTACAAAAGGGACTATTTTTGCTATTTAAACTCTTATATAATCACACATTTAACCCACTCACCTCGTTAAGACATCATATCCACCCACGACGTAACAGTCACCGTGAGGTCTTCTTATTTCTGCCTCTGGCACGTACTGTTAAATATCGTCGGTTATTTTCTGTATATGCAATTGCTATTTGGAAAAACTACCCAGGAATGTAAAAAATCTGAAAAAGTATCCTTTATTTAAGAGAACTACTACTCGATTTTTGCATTCAGAAAAGCTTCCTCAAATTTTGGGTGCTGAATCCACTGATCGACTGTACCGTAGCGATGGCGTTTGTGGTCTCTGAACACTATGGCTTGTCTCACCAGGGACAATTTCGTTGGCCAACAGCCACAGCTGTTCCTCAACGCCTCTACTTTGACTATCCCCAACTTCATGAAAGGAATTGACGTCCGATGATCTCCGATACCGTGCAACCCCCTCCCCCCCTTCTTGACGGTCGAAAATCTACCGCCAGCAGTTTTTTTTCTCCTGAACGCTTCAAACCATAAAAACCGTCATCAACTATATTTTTATTCTTCAGGAGTTTTTTTTCACTGCTGGTCGGATTTGTGTTTAATCGCTTCCC